TAGCAGGAAAGCATGAAACATGGATGTGTGTGTGTAGAGCTGCTCTCTCTCAACATGTATAAAGAGTCAGCACTGGAGCTGTTTGTATGTTTGAGAGTGTGGACTATGCGATGTTCCCTTGGGGTGTGAATTAGCCTTCAGTGTAAATGGCCTCTTCATGCTGAAACAGAGCTCTGATGAACTGTAGCGAAAAATAATGTAAAACTGCGCCTATCCAATTGCTCATTACTCACACAGATTCCAGCCGTCTTCGCTTTCACCCCTTGCCCCATTTCCACCATTATAGCAGCACTTACAACCCTCATCTTCTGCTTGTCCGGCCCTCGGCCACTCTCATCCTGATCCTTTTCTCAGATCCTCACCCTGGTTCAATGGAGAATGGACTTCTGAAGAAGTGGATGGATGTAGAACAGCTCTTATCCACTAAAAAGACATCTATTTTCATATTTTGCGTTTTATGTATTTGTACCAAAAAATATAACGGCGAAAGATCAGATGAATCCCAAGACGATGCATTTAGTCCTTTAGTCCTTTCAGTCATTTACCTATCTATACACTCACCCATCTGAGACTGGGTTGCAGGTTTATATCTTGAGATTAACTCAAAGACTTTTACAACTTTTAGTGTGTTTTATGTCCATATGGCACATTTAAGCTGCAAAGCAACTTTTTAGATGAATCTCAGTGGTATAAAGTGTTCCCCATGAAGAAAGTACAGCCTCTTTTATGCAACAGAATGACATATTAATATATAGAACATTTGAAGTTCAATCCTACTGAAAAATATTCTGTCCAAAGGAGCTTGGTAAATGGCCTGTACTTATATAGCACTTTTTCAAGTCAGGAGACTTGACCAAAGCGCTTTACACTACATTCAGTCATTCACACACACTGATGGTGGCAGGCTACATTGTAGCCACAGCTGCCCTGGGGCTCGGTGACAGAAAGGGGCTGCCGTACACTGGCGCCACCGGGCCCTCTGACCACCATCAGTACACAATGCAGGTGAAGGGTCTTGCCCAAGGACACAAGACACTGAAAGTCGGAGCCGGGGCTTGAACCGTCAATCCTTCGATTTCAGGGCAAACTCCTACATCCGACACCAATGTCGCCCACAAGCTTGAAAGAATGGGCGGAACTAAGCGGTGGCCAGTGCTGACAATATCCAATTCCCTAGCCAATCATTGGCAAGTACCATGGCCACGCCCACCAGGTGATGTGTTGTTCCCATGTGGACAAAATCCAACAACTTCAGAACAAGCAGTTCTGAAGAGTGCAAGTAGCGATACTCTTAAGTAAATTGTTAAAACTAATTAGATATTTAACTGTTAGTATAACCGTCATAAAATGACAGATATGTAATTAATTGTTTACATCAATATGATAACATATAAGATTATCTGTCCATCCATCTTCTCTTAGTCTTGTCAGCGTCGCGGTGGGGCCGGTGCCTATCTCCAGCAGTCTATGGGCATTAAGCGGGGGGTACATCATGAACAGGTGGCCAGTCTGTCGCAGGGTGGCAAAGAGACACACAAAGACACCCAAGCATGCACAAATGCACTCACACCTAAGGACAATTTAGAGAATTAATCTAACAGTCATATTTTTGGACTGTGGGAGGAAGCCAGAGTACCAGGAGAAAACCCATGCATGCACAGGGAGAACATGCAAACTCCATGCAGAAGGACAGAGGCCAGGAATCGAACCCACAACATTCTTGCTGCAAGAAGGTTATGTGCTACCCAGTGTGTCACCACGCAGCCCCATATAAGAAAATTTAGAACCATTTGTGTATTAGGGAAGAGAAGGGAAAGTTGTGTGTCTATAAAGAAAAGATCCTCAACCTATTTATTGTGGAGTTTATGCTGAAACATAAATAATTAATTAGGACAGCATAGATCTTATGCTGTGTGTATATTCATCAGCAAAGGCTTCATGAAAATCTGGTCTGTATTTAGTGATTCATTAGGTAAATACCTAAGTTGTGCCCATCCATTTTCCTGCTGGTACAATGCGATTCATTTAGATAAACCCTGTCAGTTTTCTGCCACCTTAAAAACAATCTACAAAAAAGAGAAAAATTGGTTTGATATGCGTGGCTACTTTTCTACATTTCTACACCTGTGCTGCAGTGCTAATGCTAGCTTGCATATAAACAGCAAGAGGGCTTGTCTTAAATGTTTTACACTTGTAAATAATCTAATTGAAAAACATTAGCATCCAGTTGCACAACCACAATTGGTTCCTTAAGTTCTTCCCCCTGGTTAGGTTAACTCTGCTTTTAAAGTGATCGTCCAGGTTAGTTAGTTAAATGTGTTTGTTTTTCAGCAATAATAATACCTAAATTCTTAAATCATGTAAAATAAGCAGGGGTGAATCTAATATGTTCCAGCCAGCTTTCCCAATGTGGCTTTATCTTTGTTTAGTCACACAGAGGACTGTTTGTATATTTTTTGTAAAGCTGAGGTTAGACTGATTCTTTACTAGTGGCACTGAAAATTTTTTTCCTGTTATATATTTTAAAAAATATATATTTCAGCTGTTAATGTAAATTTAATTTCTATGACATAAGTCCATCACAAGGCGAGTAGCAGCCCTAAACTTAGAGTAGTTTATTTTCTAATTACCTTTAAGCAATAACAAGTAGGAATAATTTAAATCTTCAAACAGATATTAAACAATAAGTTTACCTTTACTTGAATTGTTTTACCTTAGAGAATCAGTTTAGAGGTATGGTGTAAATTAAATTACAGTAAGGTTAAGGGTTAGAAATATACTGAAAATTAGGTCAGGGCTAAGGTAAATATCAGGGTTAGACATAAATTTAGTTAATAAGATGAATAGAAGTCAATGTAAAGTCTTAATATATAATTTCAATTCAATTCAGTTTATTTTTTTAGCGCCAATTCACAATACATGTCATCTTGAGGCACTTTAAAGTTCACCAGATCATACAGTCAAATTGATTCAAGTTCTCTTTCTAAGGAAAACCAGTTGATTGCATCGACTCATTGACTCGGATGCAATCCCTCACACTAAGCATGCTTGTAGCGACAGTGGAGAGAAAAAAATCCCTTTTAAATGGAAGAAACCTGCAGGAGAACCAGGCTCAGTGTAGGAGACAGAAGCAGAGATACAAAAAGCAGCTGTAAAAGGCGCCCCGTCCAGGGAACGCACAGCCAGGCAGACAAGCCCCGAGCCACCTCCCATGTCAGTGGATGACGAGAGCACATCCAGCCAGTCACAATCAGAGAAACAGGACTACACTGGAAAAACAGGCCATCTCCAACATCTATAAATAAAGATGTTGATGGCAGCAGCACAGCTGATAGAATTTATATAGTAGAAATTCAAACTTGTGTGTCTTTATGCATTATTTCATGTAAACTAGAAAAAAAAAAGCAATAATTAAGAAATTATTTAAAGGCTGAAACCCACTAAGGTAAACGTGCTTTCTTAACTTACATGGATAAACACCTGGAAGTTCTGCCTTCAAGTGCATTTAAGATTCACACATTGTCTCCTTGCTGTTTAACAGTTGCTTTCACTTTCATTCTATGGCTTTAAATGCACACAGAAAATCCACTAAATAGCCATTTCTCTGCTGACATTAGCCCTTTCAACATCAGTCGCTTTTTTTTTACTATAATAGATAAAGAGGAGATATGCTGCTTTTCTGGGAGTAGATGGAAGAAAGGGGGAGAGAGAGAAAGGGAGAGAGGGGAGGGAGCATTAGAGCCGCGCCGAGGCTTCAGAGGAGGAGAGCTGTTTATTTAGCTGCTGAATGAAGGAGAGGATGAACACCAGGAGAGGAACCACCCGGTAAATCAATGACCTGGGCTTATTCGACCGCACACAAACGGTGAGCAGACACAAACAACGCACGTTTCTCTTGTTTTCTCGCTCCGGTCATCAGGGTGTCAAAAAAAAACGCTGTACGTTGATGCGTAAACAAGGAAGAAGGGCGCACGAAAAGAGGGAACTGACCAACATGCCCTGCGTGTTTCCCCTCAGGTGTGCATGCGGCACCGCAAAGCCCTGGTTGGTTAGGGATGGGGGGTTGAGGGGGATGCCTTCATTATCGCTCCAATTAAGCAGCAGACCGGTGCGCGTTGTTGTTGGAGACAACGCAATCGTGCGTAAGGCGATTTTCCTTCTGATCCATCACCTTCGGAGGGAGCCTCAATGGAGCGCTGAATCAGAGGCTCTTCTTCTGGATGAGGGGCCTGGGGTCAGGAGCCCTGATCTTACTGAAGGCTCTTACTGAAGGTGGACCCTGAGTTCTGGTAGCGAGCAGGCGGTTATGTTGCCACCGTCTGTGATGGTTGCTTAATTAGTGCGATATATGATATGTGACGTCAAAACCAGGCTCTCTAATGCGTTTTATTGGCATTGTATGTTACTTACTAACATAAATGAATACGTACGTATTCGTAAAATGTAAATAATACATTTTCTCATTATTTTTTTTATTAAAAATGTACATTATTTTCAGTTGTATTCAAACCCCAGTGTCAATGCTTTGTAGATCCAACTTTAGATGCATGTCTTGTTGGGATACATCTGTACCAGTTTTGCATCTACAGACATTGAGCTTTGTTTGATCAGCTTTGCATTTAAAACAGCTCAGGGATTTGGTTTTTTTTGGATCAGTGGTTTTCAAGTTTTTCAGCAGATTCTTGATCAGATTTGGATCTGATTTTTGAACAGGCCACTCTAACGTGCTATGATTGTATGTTTAAGGGCCTCCCGCTGGAAGGTCAACCTCTTCCTCTTTCAGCTTCTTCTTCTTTTTCAGCTTCTCACAGATTTCCTTGAGGATAGCTCTATATTCAAATTGATCCTTCTTACCAAAAACTCATGCAAAGCCTCTACATGATCATGTAAAGCATCCCCACAGTACAACATATTCTCATTATCAGTTCATATGAAATTGTACGAAAAGTTATGCACAGTATTTCGTACGTTTTCAACATTTTTCCTTGAAAAAACAGATCAGTGCGCATGCGCAGCCAGACAGACGAAAAAAAACAGATCTGCGGACGGACGTAAAACTGGGAAAAACAGTGCAATAATTACTTCTTGATGTCTCTAACTAGGTTGCTTAATGTTTTGTATCTTAGGGTTAGGGTTTATTGTAAATTCGATGTTATTGAATAGTGCGTAAGATGCGCATGCGCAAGGATATCTTGTCTCGAGGCAAGACGTAAAAATACGACGAAATACGACGAAAAAAACGTCAAAAACGTACGAAATTACTGTGCATCATTTTTCGTACGATTTCATACGAACTGATAATGAGAATACACTGCACAGTATGATGATGCCACCACCATATTTCATTGTATTGATACTGCTTTTAGCAGGATTTGCAGTTAAGGCTGATTTATGCTCAGAAACCAGGTCTTCTGCGTGTCTGTCGCAGTGAATGCAGATATGCCCACACCCCTTCTGCAGACACTCTGGTGCGCCTCTCCTAAATAGGTGACCACAGATAGAAGGTATCTGATTGCTCAAATCTACATGTGCTCTACACTATACATATTTCCTGTTTGGTACCATATCGATTGCTTTGTTTATATGACTGCCATTGTGGAAAACGACTCATGAAGATGGACCAGCTAGAAGAGTGAGGTGCGCAAGTACGCTGGGACCCTTTTTCCACTCTTTTTAGCCCTCATGTCCCTCCGTTGTCGCACAAACTTACCCCATGCGTTTTTCCACTTCCTCGCCGCCTTGGCCATATTTAGACCCACAGCTAGTTCGTGATAGTTCGTGGCATAAATCAAAAATATCTGCAACAAGCTTACTTGTTACACTGCTACGGGAGTATAACCAGCCCTTTAGTTTGATATTTTGCATGTAGACTACACTATTCAGCTTAAAACTCTCCTGTATTTCTTTAGCAAACTTTAAACAGACAACTCCCATTGTCGCCTTTCAACAACTGCTTGCATCTCTTCTATAAATACCTGATTTGTGGAGTGCATAGGTAGTAGTTTTCCTAATAACTGGCTATACCTTGAGCTTTCGATCTCTGTTGCTTTTTGGTTGCTTTCCTGGTTAATGCTCTCCTCTCTTATGTGGTCAGTTTATTTTAACAGACATCTCTTCGTAGGTTTAGTTGTGCCTTAATCTTTCTCAAATGAGGGATTAAACAGAGCCCTGTTAAAAACTGGAATATGTTTTTCATAACCTAACTCTGCTCTAAACCTCTCCATAACTTTCTCCCTTGCCTCCCTGCCCAGCTGGGCTCAGGCGAAACTTCATTCTACTTATTAGAAGGCTTTTGAAAGAAATTAGTTCTCAGAGTAAAAATGATAAAATCAAATTGTTAGATGATTTGTTAAAAAGGCTTAAAACCATCTGAGTGTTTCCCGTATCATCCAAAGCGGGCGTCTAAATTGGCTTTGGAGGGTGGGCATTATAAGCTTCTTGCTTCTGCCAATACACCATTTTTCAGACTGTTTTAATTTATGTTCTATGGACATATACTGTCTTTATTATATACTTGTATTTCTGAAATAAACAAAATTCTTCAAGTAGATGGCATGTTTTAAGTTATTAAACATCTGTACTTGTTTACAATTAGATTTTGTTGAACTTATCAGTCTATTTTATTAACAGCAAGCCGCTTCTCTTGTTGACTCCTTTAAAATGATTTGCTCTATCTATAGATATCTATCGCTGAGAGAGACACTCTGTCTCTCTCTCTCTCTATATATATATATATACATATACATACTCTAACCAGCAGGTGAAAACATACTCCTGACAGTGGATCCAGATTATGTCACAGTGATGGCAGAAAGCAATATTAAACATCTGCCATTTAAAAAACAAAAACAAATGTAAGGATAGAAGCACATTAAAGGGGTCATAGAATGCAAAAACGAGTTTCCATTGTCATAGATGAATAACGATAGTTCAGTGGGTGAAATGGATGTTCAGAGAAGTTCAAACCCCATCGACAACACCTTTCTCTGCAAATCTCACAATTCCAAACTTCCACCATAAAACAGGTGAACCCGAACACAGTTGACATCAACTCGGGGATGTTGCCTTATTTGGTTCTGGCCTGTACTTTTGTCACGCTCCGGGGGGGTGGTTTGAAGTGTCGACTGTTGGGAGGTAGGCTGGGGGGCGGTAAGGCAGGCGGGGGGAAGCACAGGGCAGCCTGTGTCCAAGCTACCACCACAGGGTCGGGTTCGGTCACTGTGTCCCCTGCTGGCTCTCTGCCCCTTCTGCCAGGGATCCCGGACCAGCCCAGGAGCTGACGGCTCGGTTCGGGTGCCCGGTTTGTTTTGACTACGCGCTGCACTGTAGTCGACTAAAATCCCAGAAAATTTTTTTAGGTATGAAAAGTAGGACATATCCAGGAAAAAGAGGACGTCTGGTCACCCTACCATATCAACAATTTGGATGTTTCAGTGATGGAGTGCTTGTTGCTATGATGCGTCTTTGCTCAGCAGCTTTGCTCGTTTTAAACCAACAAATTAGCGCACAGCTCATCTATATATTCATGAGCATACCATAAAAGGAAGAAAAGCTATCGTTTCATTATAGGGTTTTTAACCAGGCTTGCATTAGGGCTCATAGAACAGCAAATATACCATTTTCAGCCCAACCAATATTACACACCCAATTCAGAAACCTTAAGGACCAGCACCAAATACCCTATATAATCATTCTATGACCCCTTTAAATCTTGCTGTGCTTATAATACTAAAGAAGATGTCGGGCACTCTTTCCAAAAATAATGCATTATTAACCCCTCAAAATATGTCACCAGTTCAATAATTCAGGGACCCAATCTGTCCTGGGAAATGCGAGCTACAAATACATTTGCATATTTAGAATAATAATAACCTTCATCAGCTGGAATTAGCTTTTTAATTCTGCAGAGCCTATTGTTCTTATCCGCAGGATTGTACCTACAACAACTGCTAATGTTTAATACCTGCAGGGATTTAGCAAAACCTGAACACTTTGAGATTAAATACATTTTTATTGATAGTCCTTGTTGTTTTTCAAGCTTACTCGGTTTAGAATTACTGAAAAGAAATAACTTCATGTGTTTATCTATATCTTTTGTCCTGAAAATATTAATTTGAATATCTATCCTCTCTGTCAAATAGTTTTCCCTCTACATTATCTTGAGTGTGTATTTTGTGTATGCATCGACTCCCAAAGAGACTGTGTCTACTTCTGCTATTGTGCCAAAAATAAACACAAGACTATCTCCAGCCTTTCCCTGCTTGTTTGCACTCTCTTTGCCTTTCGACTGCATCCTTAGCTAATCCATTAAGTCCTTCAACAACACATTGGCTTCTCTGATGTAAAAGGTGGTAACCCACAACCTGACTCGCTATTCTGGTCCATGCTAATCTGGTTATGTGTTTCCCTGGCACCAGCAATCAGTTGTTACTAGTTACTGAGGGCTGTGTCTTCTAAAATCGGCAGGATAGACCTGGCACTAATCCTCCTCTCTCCCCTGTGTGACAGTGTCTGTGTGTATGGGGTTAATGCTTGGAGCAGTGGGGTGGAGGAATGGCTAGCTGTGAAGGTGTGATTGTGTTGTAAATTACTATGCAAAAGAGGGCAGAGTATGAAACACTGAGTAAACAGAAGCAAACAACTAGGGAGAAAAAAAAGAATGTAAGGAAGTTGCAATGCAATAATTTAGAATGCAGACACTTAAACAGGAAAGAAGGACAACAGGGAATGGGTTTGTGAGGTTTGGTCAGTCTGACTTCTTTCTGCACATTGATTTTCCGCTTCATTACAAAAGTATGAGGATATCCGAACGAAGAGAGGTGCAAAATGTGTAAAGAAAGCTTTGACAATATTTCATAATTTAAC